TAGCTGTGATGATCCCAGCAAGGATCAAATACCAGGATACAGTGAAATATCAGTGACGATTTGACCTGCATTTAACCAACAAACCTAGCAGTGTTAGTTACTTTCCTCTGCCCATTAAGCTCCATAGCAAATTCAGACATGAACCACCACCTCTGTCAAATAAAAAAAAAGTCCCATTTCCTCAGGCTCTAAATCGTCTCCTGCATATGAACTGAACGGTAAATAGCAGGAGAATGAGAGCAGCAGAGGGACTCCATAAAAAGAGCCCCCGTCTCCAGGGCAAAGAGCTGCTCTGTCCGAGTGGCCGAGATACCCTTCCTCCCCTACCTCCTCTCTGTATACACAAAGGCATTGTGGGAAAGCAAACGCAGTTCACATGGCCTCCCTGTGTGGTCTCAGACTTCATCACAGTCACACTGAACTGCTGAGAGTCACAATAATGAGGAGAAATTTACCATCTTGACTTTGAACATCTCAGCTCAGGTCAGAAGTCGAGGACAGTTTACCTGTTTCAATAGTCTTTTCAAGCTCTTTTGGTAATCAAAGTAAGAGGATTAAAAAAGTTTGTTTTTGATGCAAATGATGAAACGATGAAAGATAATATTACAGCGTATATCAGAGATATAACAGAGGACAGCAACACGATCTGCAGATTTTATCCTGCACAGCAAACTACACAAACATTTCCGAAAGTGAACCATTTCTGAGCTCTCAATGGGAAAACAAGTGGGAACAGTGGGATTTTAAATCGAGACCGGACAAGACAACCCCTGACAGGCTATTTTTCCACATCATTACTTTGATTAAATGGAAAACGCCTCTTTCTAAACAAATAACTTTGAATTTGTAGTTTGATTTTTATCCATCGGTTATGGCTGAAACCTTCCCGGTGTTACGGTCTAAGTGAGTGACACGCCCCCTGCACAAAAGATGATGATTTCTCAGTTATATTTATGGTCTTGGTCTTGACTCAGTCTCGCCCTGCCTTGGTCTTGGTCTTGACTCGATCTTGATCCCTAAATATTTCGGTCTTGTCTTGGTCTCGGTGCACTCCGATCTCAGGTATGTCTTGGTCTCGGTTAGTGTGGTCTTGACTACAACACTAGAGGAGACCTCTGCAGATAATAAATAATTATGTTACAGACAACTGATGATAATTGTTTTAAACTTCACCGCGTTAATGACCGAACCCTCTGCATTCTTCAGACTTCCCTATTTACTTGGGTTCTTGTCAAACTGGTATTATTATGAAATTATAGATTGATACAAATTGATTTTATGATCCAGAAAATGATTATGATGATTTATTTTGCCATTCCAACCAGCACCAGATCAAAATAGAATCATTTACCCCACAAAACAGACACCAGAGATTTCGTGTAAATATATTCAGGAGGTATTCATGCTCCACAAAAAAAACACACTGAAACTAGATCAGCCTGCAAGGAAAACTAAGTGTCATTGTATTTTTGTGTGAACTGTCCCTTTAATGGACCATGGTGATCTGTCTATGGGGTGTGTAGTGGAAGTATCTGGGTCATAGCAGTAAACATAAATACAGCTGCTCTGAGAAGGTGAGAGCAGGAGAACAGGAGCTGTGTCTCCAATTAGAAAGCATGATACATGGACGCAAACACACAAAATCACACATACACACACGCAGCTCGTCCAACCTTTACAAGAAAGAGAGAGAGAGAGAGTGTGTGTGTGTGTGTGTGTGTGTGTGTGTGTGTGTGTGTGTGTGTGTGTGTGTGTGTGTGTGTGTGTGTGAAACAGAGAAGCACATGTGTGACCTGAGCGATGAGCAGGTTTCCCGCTAATGAGGCCGAACTCTCGTTTACCCCCCGCAGAGATTCACCTTCTGACAGAATGGGGGCCCTGTTTACACACATACACACACACACCGACACACGCACACACCAAACCCGTCTCCTTATGTCACTTTTGTGCACATCATTACATAGACGCACCACCTGGAGACTTACCAAAAGCCAAAAACAGCTTTTGTCCCCAGTTGGACAAGCGGTCCCCGTTAAGTTGGTCTTTCGCTTCTGTGTCCCCGAAAGTACACTAAATCAGAACACTCACTCACACACACACACACACACACACACACGCACACTTTCAAGCAAATGACAAATTTGAAAAATTACAACAATGCAACAGTTCCTACCTGTCAGCCTACTGGATGAAGGTGTAAGATGTGCGAGTGTGCAGATACACTTTTATCAATGTGATGTTGTTGCAGTGCAGGGCAAAAGTACAGCAGAGCCACACCTAGCGCTCCTGGCCATTCACCAAACCTGGTCGGGTTCCAGGAACAGCAGAGAAGAACACGGGGCAAAAAAGTGCTGAGTCAACAATGTGTGAACGAGCAAAGGACTAAGAAGCATTGGATGTGTGTGTCTGAAAGTTTGGGAGAGAGAAAGCAGGGAAGACTGAGAAAGAGACATCTAACTATGACTCCGATTGTGCCTTGTCCTTGAAAGAGCTGCCAGGGTGGGCGTGGCCTACAACTTTGCTTCTGATAAGTCAGCCGAAGCTGACGTCAGGTTCTGGTCAAGTGTTGCAACGTTCTTTTTGTTTGTCTTTCTTGTAATATAGATTGGCAAAATTGATCTAATTTAATGAATCAGGCATCTGGCATCAGTGGTCTGCCTGTATTTGTCTATGTTTTATTATAAGGTTAAAGGCGTGGTTGGTCATTTTTCTCCAGATCCTCTTTTTAAGATTTTGGTTGAAATTGTCTTTAGGTCCTGACAGACATTACTAACTCATGTTCTCCGAAAAAGGAACTAAGAAAATCTGTCATCTGTAGCAGTTGTAAGCCTGTAAAACTTTGACTAATGTCTGCCACGAGGTACCAGAGGGCGTGGCTTTAGAGAAAGCACAGAGGGGAGGGGGTGCGTGCAGATGAAGCACTAAGGGAATGTTACTTTCAAAATTGCCAACCCTGCCTTTAACCTAAGGTTCGCAATACATCAATGATAGCATTATTTTTCATCAGAAGCACATTCATTGGTATCAGATCTGTACTCTATATTGGCCAATTTGCAATTTATATGTATCAGAATCAGAACTGGAAGGCAATCAACTAAATAGGATTGTATTAAGTGAACTCTTTCATAAATGCTTCTTGATACTCTTCTGTTTGTTCTTCACAGTGCTTACATGCATGCAAATTCATGTACTTTTAATTTAAGTCCTGTCTTTTGACTCGCTAAATTAATCGACAAAATCCTGACGCACTAGTGGAGAAATAAATCACAAAAAACACGTCAACACTTGAGTGAGAATTTGTCAGAAGGATGCGTACTATGTCTGCTGTCCACTCAAACTCAAGGCTCTCTCAGTCTGGCATCTTTCTTGTTACACTGAACATGCCTGAGTCCATCACAAAGCTACTGGACACTAGCATGTGTGTGTGTGTCAGTGTCTGTGTGTGTGAGTGTTTGGTCCGTCATTCATGCTGCAATCCGACTGAAAGTGTCATCATACCAGCTCTGACTCAAAGAGCAAAAACTAGCAGAAACCCCCGCAACCCCACTCAAAACCACAAAGCACGGCATGAAAACACACACACACACAAGACATCAAACTCATGTGGTTAACACTCACTCACAGCTGCATGTGTGTGTGTGTGTAAATTTGTGTGTGTGTGACGGGGCAGTCAAAAACAGGAAGTGAGTTTTTGTTAAGGAATTCTAGAAAAAAAAGTACCTTTCAGTTTCGATGGCGGGAAAAACCACCAAGGGGCAATCTGAATGAATGTACACACACACACACACACAGACCACAGAACATATTAATCATTGAGCGCCGACACTAACCCTCTGTGTGTGTGTGTGTCCTACCATCCCCCTGAACCTTCACCTACTTCTGCATCAATACATCCTCTTTCCAGGTCACCTTACACCTTTTACTTCCTGCTAAAGTCTCATGTGTGTTTAGGTTTTTATTGCTTAAGCCCGACGTATACTGTATGATACCATTTGTGGCGGGTTGTAAACTCACACTGTAAGAGGAAAATCTGCATGGACACTGAAAAATTATCATCAAAGCTTCCTTTGAAACCTCCCAAAGACGGAGGTAGACGTCAAATCTGTGTGTATTTCATTTGCATCATCTCATGCACGGCTCAAAAACAAATACTGCAAAAACGCTAACACACACACACACGCTCACGCACGCACGCGCACGCGCACGCACGCGCACGCGCACGCGCACGCACACACACACACACACACACACACACACACACACACACACAAGGCCTGCACGATACAAGAAAGGATATGCACTGTGCAAAATCTGACTTTTGCGATGCGTTTATAGCAAAGGCACACTTGAAATATGATTAATTGCACATCACTAATGCACACATACACCAACCCCAATTGTGGACCTCCATACCACAACAGCGTGGTGTTCATTTGGTACTTCTCGTACATACAATAAGCACAACTGCGTTCAAACTGTGATCTTGAAAAACAGCAATGGAAAGCATCTGCTCCTGTGATACTTTCTTCACACGCCCTCTCTCTCTCTTTATCAGCTCAGATCAAACACCTCATAAAAACAGGACCTCCTATAAAACACACAGAGAGGCTCACTCTCCTCATTTCCTCCTTTCACTCATCCTCCGGCCTTTTTATCGCTCATCCTTTTCTTTTTTTTCTTTTTTTAACATCCTCCTATCTTGCCCGCATGCATCACTGCCGGGGAAAAAAGCACACATACACACAACCCGACGAAGCCGTAAAGGCCGCGCTGTGCGGCGAGGAGGCAAAGTTCACAGAGAGAGGGAGTGGCAAAGGGTGTCAGGGCCAAAGACGCAGGAAAACACACACCACCTTTTATGACAGGTAGGATCACGCTGCACGCCCACACACACATTCTTCTCGTGCCGGAGTCAGGTAAACAATGTGGTCAGGAGGGGAGACGCACAAAGAGGTGTTAAGGAGTACGACACACACCAAAACAAGAAGAGAGATTCAAACCTTTTGGGTGCCAGGAGTGTGTCATTTCAGTCCTGCTCGCTAATTTGAAGCTCATGGGCATCTGCTGCATACATTAACTCCACCGAATCCTGAAAGACAGAAAGAGAGAGAGAGGGAAAGAGAGAGAGAGAGAGAGAGAACGGTTACATAAGAAGTCCCAGAGAGATGGACAGCATCTCTGTACCGCCTGCCCCTGGAGACCAACAGCCAGCCAGTCATGCAGCCTCGCAGTCCGAGAGGAAGACATGAAAAAACACACATTGAAAGAGAGAGAGAGAGAGACGTTACATAAATGCAACTCTGCATCCATAAACACACTCAAGGCGAGAAATGAAGCCATGAATTACACAAACACTGTGCACTGATTAACAGAGTAATATGTGCATCTCTGACTCAGACCTTTATTCCCATAATGCTTCTCTCTTACCAGACTTACCAGAGTGCATCACTACCTCCTAACTGTACTTTAAAAAATAACTTCACAAAATGTGGAAAGACAATTTGGATTAGCAGGTATGAATCTGTAGAAATCCAAGAATATTTTGAAGCCTTAGTAGATATCTTGTGTTGTGCTCTTTTTGCAGTTTAAGAAGTTGGACCCAGAGATCGGGATGTCCTGCCAGTGCTTTGGTTCAGATGCAAAATATTGACAGCCGCTACCGGCCAGACTAATTTGAAATCTGGCTCAGAGCTCTCTTCACGACCTTCAGGCCGTATGGGATGTCAGCGTCGTGCTTCTGCAGCTTTGGAATGGGATAATTTATGACTAGATCTGAATCTGTCTGACTTGCAAAGAAAACTAAAATGATTAAAAAAAAAAGTGAATGATTTAAATCCCAAACATCTCTAACACTCGTCGCTGCCTGAGCGTGACTGTAAAGACTCTGAGGGAGTGTGCAGGGCTGGGATAATCTTCCTGTATTCGTCCATATTATAGTGCATGCCTGTGGTTCCCAGAATAAGTGGAGCTTGATCCAAAGGCTAATTGCAGAAAAGCAGCATTTGAGGCTCTGGTTTTAGCTCGGTCAAAAGAGCAGGAGTCAAATATGCAGGCATCAGTGCATCAGATGCAGCTTGCTCAGGCAGAATGCATGTCAACGTTTGGCCGGTAGATCAGCAGACACATACAGCCTAATCAAATCCCCACAAGGTCTGAGCTGAACCCCAAACCTGGGCATCTTCTGAAAACACCTGTACTAAAAGCCTTCCCTCTAAAGAAACACAAAAAGGGCTGAAATGATCCATTTTTGCAATACAGTGAAGCTCATTGGAGAGAGAGTCATCACTTTTATTTGCCACGTTTACTGCCGGTCGGAGATTTCTGTGTGTGCTCAGGATAGTCTAAGAAATGTCAGCTATGCACACAGCAAGATTTCACATCCACGGGAGGATAAACCAATTTGGTTTTTGCAAAACTTTAATAAAGTGTACTTAAAAGAAGGTCGAGCGGCAACCACAACCCTCAGTAGCATTTCCAAATGATGTGATAATAGGGCCAATTTATTATTAGATGTTAAAATGCTAAGAATTCCACTCTAAACCTAAAAACTCTCTAAGGGCAAAACAAACCCCCCTTCATCTCCTTCATCCTGACAGAAAGGTGGACATCTGGTCGTGGATCAGTGCAGAAATAATGTCCTCCTGATCACGTTTGTTTGTCTGGTTGAGGGGCAGCAGGAGGCGCACGGGGCTCATCAGGAGGATTAAAGTCTTTATGTGTCTCCGTTTCTTCCGACAACAAACATGTCCGGTTGATCTTCTCTGTCCTGTCTTCATCATCTCCGTCCTCTCTGCCTCAACATCTGCCTCGCACTCCTGTTCATCCCTCGTGCTGTCTAATGTGTCACAAGCTAGCTTCCGCACACACACACGCACACACACACACACACACACACACACACACACACACACACACACATACATCTGACAGCTGCTGTGCTTCTCAAGACTGATACACAACACATGACACTGCTGCAGCCTGGTTCATGGACTTGGAGTGCCACTAATTAGTGTGTGTTTGTGTGTGTGTGTGTGAGAGTGTGTGTGTGTGTGTGTGTGTGTGTGTGTGTGCAGTACGATCAATATCAAGCTGCTTCGTATGTCCATCACACTCTGAACACATTAATGTCAAACACGGTCTGATCAGGTTACAACGTACATGACAACCAGGGGATGGATTCATTTTTGTTAAAACTCTTAGAGCAGCTGCAGACACATCGCCCCCTTGTGGACAGATAGCAGGATTATGCTTTTTTTTTTTCCACCTTTGACTTAAACACCTGGTTTCTCAACTCGACTGGTAAATGTATGCATAGCCTGCTACTACTGGGAACAGAGAATCATGTGGTTTCAGTCCTCAGCAGAACAGATCTTTCTGTCCGATTAAAGCAGACAGGGGGCGCCGGTAGCCTAGTGGTTAGTGTGTACGCTAGGGATGTAAAGATGAAATGTACAGTCGTGATAAATCGATTCAAAGGTGCCAAGATTCACATCAGTACTCTGAAAAATGAATCTCAATAATATGGTCAGCAGCTGTAGAGCAGAGGAGGTTGGCAGCTGTAGAGCAAGATTCCTAAATAGATGACGCACCACCGTCTTTTAAATCGGAGCTGTGGCAGCATTTTGGCTTCCCCAAGACAGAAAATGAAAGAGGTGAGAAGATAACAGACGAGACAAAAACTGTGTGCAAATACTGTAAGAAGACAGGGAACTACACAAACAGCACAACCAACATGATGCAGCATTTAATCAACACCACAATGAGAAGCTCCAATCACCTCTTGATGAGAGAAAAAAAAACAATAAAAGGCCAAACAACACTGACAAGCGGGTAAGCGGCCCCTAAAGGAATCTTTTTCACTCATCATTTGTCTACAGCCTCATTTTGTAAAATATATCATGAGAGAATCGTATGGTATTGAGAGTTGAGAGAATCATTACATCCCAAGCATACGCCCCATGTACAGCGGCAATCTAACCTGTGGCTCCTTTCCGGCATTTCAATCCCCGCTCTCTCTTTCTGCGATTTCTTTAAACCTTTACAGCAGACAATCATGATCATAGAAAGATCAATTACTTCTGTGTTAGTGTTGGTGTTTGTTATGTTTCCTCTCAGTGTTCCTCCTCTCAGATAATCCCGCGCACGCAGTAACGAAGGAGCCTCATTTGTCCACAGAGCTGTCAATCATGACCTCAATCCTTCCCTTTTTTTTTGCATCAACTAACTTCACTTATCAAAAATGAATGAACACTTGGACATTGATCAGTATGATGATAACTAATAATCACAGAGACCATGTAGGAGGCAGAGCTTATCACCTATACTGCAGACAGTCAATTCGGTGAGCTCGAAATGTTTTGGCTTCACGTTTGGTGAACTGTAATGTTGTCCATCTTTTTTTAGACAGTCTATTCGTGGTTGTTTAAAGTGTAAAGCAAACGATTAATTTCCCTGGCGTCTATGTTGAGCACTTTTTTAATCCTGGAGGTAGATATTGACTTTTCTTTCAAAATTACTGGAACAGCAACTTTTAAACTACAAGGGGCTTCATTTTCCTCAGCGTGTAACCAGAATTAATCACTCAGCGGGGTATTGACAGAATGAATTTTAATCTCAATGTAAAGTCACCCATCTCTGCCCGCTGCAGGCCGTTGGTTTCCCACACTGAGGCTCTGAACCTGCAGAGTGACGGACAGACAGCGGAGAGGAAAACCAGGCCAGCAGGGAGCTCAGCCGCCCTGATACAGAGCGGCACAGTGGGAGCGTTGTTCCTGTTGCCCTTGGACTCAGAGACATTCATCCTGCGAGTTTGACACACAAGTACTGTGGCCGAGAGGAGGGGGGAAATCTGATTGGCTGAGGCAAATGTAAAACCTCGAGTCACTGTTGAGTATTAATATAATGTAGCCGCAGTGTTAATGTGTCTGCAGTCAGGAGGGCAGAGTCAGATTCCTACTGGCTGCAGGGAAATGTCAATCAACAGCAAAACCCAAATAAGGCAACACAGCTTCCTTAATGATGTAACCGCAGCACTAAAAAAAGCTCCTTTTCTGCCAGCCACATCAGCAGTGTGTGTGTGTGTGTGTGTATGTGTGTATATATAATGTATATAAATGTGTGTGTGCATGGTTTAATCTTAGGCTGCTGCTTTCACTGCATCCAGAGCGCCGTACATCGTGTTCCTGAGCCGTCTGACAGCAGTCCTGCACGCTACCAAAGAATGTGCTTCTTGGCAATGGACCACACCTCCGACTGACCCCCTCCCAACCCCAAAACACACACACATGCACACACACAATCACACACACAATCACACGGGTCTCTTTATTCTTTTAACAAAAACATAAAAAAAACACACACCGACGTCTTCCTGATGTTCCTGCAGCTTCACCTTTGCGATAATTTGTTTTGGCAGGAGATAAAGAGTAGCTTGTTATGAGACACACACACACACACACACACACAGACACACAGACACACACTCACATTCACGCACACACACGCACACACAGACAAAAAGCATAAACAACCTCCTCGGAAACGTTGCTGATTAAGGATGTTGCATGCATGATGTTCAGTACATTTTATCATTTGTGATCTGGTTGCATTCCCTAAACCTGCTTCTTTTGCCACATTTGTTTTCCTACATTTACCAGCATGCATTTCCCAGCTTTTGGTCTTTCCATTAAAGGCAGAATATGCGATTTTTCACACTTACAAAAATCAAGTATATTTTCTGAAAATAACTCTGTCTAAGTCATGACTGTCTACAATGAGTGTGACACCCGAGTCCTATCTTCACTTTGTTTACATCGTCGGGACGGCCGGCCAGCTTATAAGTTGTTTAATTGAGGGACTTTACTTACGTAAAGTACACGGTCAATTCAGGTAAATTTACATGCATTGTGAAGATACGAGCATAAAAAAGATCTCTAGCATTAGCATGCTAACACAACAATGCAGCGTGAGTTGTTTTGCTTTCATGCTGGTGCTCAAGGTTGACATCTGCTGGATCAAAAAATCGCATTTTCTGCCTTTAAAGGATTGACAAAGGCTGTGATGGATTTTTTCGAGCAACATTGTTCAACA